TAATTTTTGCCGATGGATCAATGTGCAAATTGTATTTATTTAATCTACACGTTGTGTTCATATTTAATTATATAATAATATATTTCACATGCGTGTAAATATGAATGGACAAATAAATAAAATTCAATGTGTAATAGCGTTTCATTTTGCCTGATTATTTTTTTTTGTATTCTGTGGTTATGGAGCTCAAAATTTCATTGTTGATTTTGCAACTATATATTTTATGAAATAAATTGGAACAAAAGTATATTTATGATTAAATCCACATATTGTTTTAAGTATTCAATATGCAAATCGAAATGTGGAAATTTATTTATTATTAATCTTCTTACAAAAAAAAATATATTTTCTTTTAATGAAATTGGTATGGAACATCGGTTCTCGAATGCTTCGGTTCACGAATATAAATCAAACATAAACTTTCGGTTTACGAACAAAACTCAAACTTTTCAATTAAGTTTTCGAACAGATTTTAGTAACGAATTATGTTATTGTCAGAATATTTTAATGAATTCTCTTTTTGTACAACTTTTATGAATGAATGAATTAAAAACAAAACTTTGCACTATATGTGAAAAAATGATACTTTAGTTAAATGAAGTTTGTTGAAAATCAAAACAAAAAGAATTCGCAAACAAAAAAAAAATAGTTAAAATTGGGGTTGGAGAATTATTAGAATTGTTTTGAGCAGCAATCAAGAAGTTGTTAATCACGTTCGATTCGAGTTTCACAAAACAGATGCAATTACTGAAAACACAATTTGAGTTTACTTCGAATGTGCTTGTTTGTTTGTTTTTTTTATTATTATTTTCTCTTTCCCTCTGCTGCGGTTGTTTTGTCCACAGTTGTTGGCGTTGTTTCGTTTTGTTTTTTAATGAAAGTTCACAATCAACAAGTTCGAATGAATTATTTCGTCTAGTTACTGAAAAGGAAATGCCATTCAGTTTATGGTTTATCGCTCAGCACAATATCGCATTTTTAATTGAAACCATTTGCAGGCTATTTGTCTGCCCAAGGGCTGTAAATGAAAAATAATAAAAAAATCTAATTTCAAGGTTTATGTATGAAAAAAAACTTTTATTGTTGCGATTTTGTTTTATTTATTTTTAATCAACTTTTCAATCATTAATACGTCTAATTAATTAAAATAAGATAATTAAATTCAAAAAACTAATTAATTTTTGAGGTTTCTACAGAAGCTACGGTTAATACAATTACATAAATATTATAGGCAAAAAAATGTATTAAATTTTATAAATATCAATTATTGTAATGGACTGTCCCACCCTATTTTTTCTTTTAAATTAATAATTATTCTTGTGAGACTTTCGCTCTCAGAGGGTGTGTGTATATAATGCTTCAAGGGGAATTCACGGATCCTGGAGACGTTATCAGTAAATTTCGTGGTAAAAGTGATTAATTTTGTATGCAAAGGCGCGTGAGATATAGAGAGGAGTATCGCGCTTGGATTTATTCGGAACGGGGGAGGATGTTCAGTTTCTAATATAAAATAAATGAAGCCTCACATGTTTTATGAAATATAGTATGTACAGGAGTCTCGCCTTTTAAGACTTATCATATTTATCACGTCATAAAATCTGACTTTGAATGAATTATTAAATAGGATTGTATCCGATGTTTCTGGTGTCTGGTGAAGAGAATCAAGTTTTGAAGCCCCGGAAATAAATATGAAATGGGGCCCTCAATGTATGAACTTAAAAAAAAATGTGAAAGCGTAGAGGCCCCGCATTATTTGGGATAAACGTCATCGCGCAGAGATGATGGTTATTAGTTATTCCACGCGTTTCCGGTGTATAACTCTATAACGCATTCTGGGCACAATCTATTAACCACTGACCGATATCATCTTCGGGAAATTTCATTGGCGCTTCTCCTGCGAAAGGGGATCCAGTTTCAATTAAACTTTTAAGGGCGAAGGCGTCTGCCCTTCGCCGATGTCCCAGATTGAAGGGCAGGAAGATGCCGCAGCGGCGTCTTGTAATGACGGTTCTAACTTGTCTACATCGAATTGAATCGCTCCAGGTCCCATTATATATCTACCTACTATATACACACACATACAGAGAGAGGGGTATATTTATGCACAACTTAGAATCACCGTCTCCAACTTCCTCCAACTTAGCGAAACACACACTACTTCCATTGTGTTTTTTTTCTCTCTCTCACTGGCTTGAACTGAACTAAAATTATTCGCCAACTTCTCCAAATGAACGCCCACAAAAAGCACCCCGAGCTACGAATTAGTTCTAAGCCATCTGAATATACATATATTAAGAGATGGAATTCAGCTCCTATTAGTTTTCACATATTCTTCAACAATTATCTTACCTTTTATTCGAAGCATATTATGAAACTCCTTGATTATAATTTGTCAATTAGTCGTATATTTTTTTAATTCTTTTAAAATTTACAAATAATCGCAAAATACTTTTAGTAATTCAAATGTGAGAATTATTATGAAAATATTTTATAAAGGATTTAGTTTATGGTTAAGTGATTGCTTGTATAAGACTTTTTATAGAAATAACGGTTTTATATTTATGATAGTTAGCGATTTCAAGTAATACGTTTTAGTAGAATGGATGTTGGAAATAGAACTAACGCAATTCCTGTAAAGAAAAGGGGGATAATCAATTCTGGATATGAAAATAGTAATCTATTCTGAGTTATTGTAAGCTGGCCGTATTGTGATAAACTGAGCAGATGAAAACTGGAAATCGATTTGAGCAGTAATGGAAGGAAAAAGAAATATGGAGTTATCCGGAATCGGCAAACAAAAGAGGTCATATAAAAATGGTTCCGAATTAAAGTTCGGAAAGCTATGAGTGTGTGTAATCCAATATTAATGGTAACTCATTGGATTTTAGTTCGGCTTTTGGGTCTTGCTCCTGGAAAGCAACGTCGGGATTATTGCCTACTCGGTCGCACGTAAAATCCACCCGATCCGCCCATTAAATCGTTCCATATTGCTATTGAGTCCCAGCGTGGTTTCGTTTGTAGAATCAAGTGCTTCGCTTGTATATACAGCATCAGGAATTCCTGCAGAGGGTGCCGAGGTGATATCAAATTGTGTGCAATAAGTTTACAGTTTGCGGATGCTCAGTTACAGCCACCTAATTCAACATAATCGAACACTTTAGTAACTCGATCTTGCAACAAAGGTATACTCAAAGAAGCTGTAGCAACAACCATAATCCCGATTTTGATACTGTCGGTATTAAGTTTGTCGGGATTTTTGATACTGTCGGGATTTTGATACTGTCGTAATTGTGTAACGCATGGTTGTCGAAATTTTGAATGTTGATAATTTGATTGTCGGGATTTCGATATGGACTCTCAAAGAAGGATAGTTATCGTTGGGAGGATGTAAGCATGAGTTTTGCAGACAAGATCTAATTGATATTTACACTGTATACTTTTAATAATGCTGCAGGCGGTGAGAAAAATTGGTGGCGCGGGGATGGATGTTGGCTGCTGCAGCCGTGTTTTTATATTTAATTACGTCAAGGAGATGGATTGTTTTAAAGCAGTTCATTCTCACAAAAGACGTCCGCTCATGCCTTGCCATACCATACAAACACCCCTTCATCCCGCGTCAAAAGTAATTTAGATGGAAAAGAAATTAAAACGAGAATTAATAAAGTAATCCTCAAAGAATGTCGGAACCGGTGGAAAGGTAAGAAAGTGTTAATTTCCGCCACTTTTTCAAGCTCAAGCCGTCCGTCTGAAACCCCCCTCGAACCACCCGTTTCTTCCGAACCCGACACGATCCGACCCGGCATCCCCTCGCTTACATCTGCTTGGTATTTCAGCAGGATTCGTCCCAAGGATCTGCTACTGTCTTATAATTAAAACGCCGGCCACTTTTCGCTCACATTTCCATTCGTGGGCTGCTTCAGAATCTATTATCCTTATTAAAACCCATGTTCGCTTCATTTTCAACTACCTTGCATTATTTAGTACGGCAGATTGCACAAGACTATTTTCGTCCTGAATCCTGGTAATCTATAGTCTCCTCGACCAAATGGAAATGTTTTTTTTTAAATTTATTAAACTTCACTAATATTAAATCTCAACTAGTTTTGTAATAAAAATTGCACAGTTTAAAAAAGATTTCAAGACAATTTTACTAATTTTAATCATTGCAATTTGTTTCTTCATAACAAACAATATCATTTACATAATGTCAATTCTTGGCGTTACATAATATATATATATATTTTTTAGGGTCATGAATTGAAACAATCATAAAATTATGTAAAGCACAAGGACAACAAAAAATTGTTAGGATACGTTTTTGGTCATTTCATTATTAAACAGAGAAAACCAATCTCATGAAATAAAAAACAATCCATATTGCACTTTCATCGTAATTCATTGTAATTTTACATGCTTTTTTTCATCTTGTTATGTACTCAATTATATTTTACGTTCATAGGATTTATATGGAATTGGAGCAATATTTTTTTTCAATTTATTACTGTGCCAATTTATATCGCAAATACAGAACAACAAAAAAATGTGTTGTTGAATGTTATTATTTTATTGTATATGTATGCTTTGATAAAGTGCTGAAAGCATCAAATAAATTAAAACCAAAACCTTTTAGAGAGAATCTGTACAGTCTACAACCGGAAGGGCATTGAAGATTTTAGTGATCATCAAAAGCCTCTTAGTGGAACAACTCATTACCGGAAGCCATGTGTATGACTGATGTTTGAAATAAATTGAAGTATTTTAGTGAAAGGAGTACACAGAGCGAAAAGGAGAGGAACATATTAAAA